GGCGCCGGTAGTGACTCTGTCGTGGCGCGAGGCAGAGTAGGTGGCAACAGCAGTTGCTCCGTGTGGCGGGGCCAGCGGCGGCGGGACCATAGCCAGGCCAGAGCCAGCCATGGCCGACCACGCGCGGCAGCGCGTGCATGCACGACCAGCACGGTGACGCCGAGCGCCTGAGGTTGGTGACCGCATCCACCCGACGAGCCAGCCCGAGAATGTGCTGTGCATGAATTTTAAAGCGTCGATAGCGACTAAACGGTTGAGGTTGACACTAAACCGCCTTCACTACGCTAAAGAGGGTCTATTAGGCTACCAATCCGATCTAAAACACGACACCACGTCCCTGGCTTTGTCTATTAGGCAAATCCCCAAACCTGGCATTGTCTAGCTGTCAATAAACTTAAAGAATCTTCTAAGTCTCGGCAGAATTCAATTCCAAGTTCCATTTCTAAGCTACTAGAAGTACTAGCTAGCAATGTTATTTTTCTACAGCAAAAGCTGCATTGTCATCTACAAAGTTTGTACTTCAAACTTTATTTAAGTATCACACATGTTCTATAGTATTTTTGGTTAATAAAAATTGGTTTTCAACACTACTTGATATACACGAGCTATTGAATCAACTTTCATTCAACATTTTTATTGATCATTTTAAGTTACAAGAAATTTATCTACATATTCTATCACATGTATTATCACATAAACATGATGCTCATGACATGTTTTAGTAGTTGGTTTAGGGTGTAACACCGAGGGTGTTACATACCCGCCCCCAACTCCGGTGAGATTGTGGTCTTCGTTGACTTCTTTCGCCGTAGATTTGGGGTGCCCATCCACTGGTTCATTCGAGATCTCCTCTGGTAACACGACGTGCAGGTACACCACCTGACCCCGAACGAGATTGTGCTTCTGGCGATGTTTATTTCCTATTGTGAGGACTTTGCGGGGATAGAACCCCACTAGGCGTTGTTCTGTTGTTGCTTCGACATTCTTCCCTAGTCTGAACGGAAGGTCACCGGCAGCCTTTGGATCAAGGCGGCCGACAAATCTCCATTCTTTCACATCGATCTCCCCTCCAACGTCCCGAATTAGGTGAAGAAGTGGTTTTATGTTTACGACTGCTCGGCTCTGGCTTTTTCCCACAAACTCCCAAGTCGGAGCAGGAAGAGGCGGACGAACTCGAGAGCGACCTGCAGGATTATCACCAGAAGAGAGGGGTTACCGGTCAGGCTTGCCTGGCAGCTTTCTTTCGGAGGTGGATCCAGCCCTTGAGGGAACATGCGTCCCTGATGTTCGACTCTCCCAACGCCGTGAGTCCATCAGGGGAGCCCATCGAACCGATGACCGTGCTTCAGGTGCTGGTCCTCACCAACAAGGTGCTGGGTCCGAAATCCTAGCTTATAGGCAAAGATCGTCTGGTGGAGCCCCTGAGCTCGAAGCCGAGGGACAGCGAAAACTCAGTAAGGCATCAGTGGTTCAGTAACCAGTTGACGACTTGTGCTGATTTCTTCGTATAACTTGCTCCGTCTTGTAGGATCATCGAAAGTACCACTCCAGAGCCTCGTTGGACAAGGTCCAGGAGTGGAGACGTCCACCAATAATGGTGAGATGTCCGCACTTCGAGAGGAGTTGAGTGCCATTGTCCCTGTTCCTCGCCCAAGCCGCGCCAGTCGCAGCGCGTTGGGTTCGGGTGTGCAAACGAGGAGATGGAGGGCCGCAGCAGAGTCTGCAAGCACCAACGAGGGGGATGAAGCCCCCGAGAGGAAGAAGAAGAGGCAACGCAGAGCACAGGCATCAATAGTGCTAGGTACGTCGGTTGCTTTTTGGCTAGTCATGGCTTTGATGTATATAAACTTGGCTTTACCACAAGGTGCTTGTAGTGCCAATGGTGAGCCGCTGGCTGGGACGGTCTCGGTCGTTAGCAGTTTTGGCCCGAAGGTGGAGTATGTCCCCTTTGAGGAAGGTTCTGGGAGCTCGCGCAGGCGATTAAAGAAGTCCGCACTGTTGGATGTTCCCAGTGTTGAAAACATGTAAGCTCAATTCCTTTATCTCGTGATTCATCGGGTGACGAGTTCCTAATGTTTGCTGGTTGGGTGTAGTTCTCGGCCGAAGAGTCTGTCGATTGAGAGGTTGCCCAAAGCAATCGCACTAGACAATGCTAGTGAGATCATGACTCTAGGAATTCGCCCGAACGAGAGTGAGGACTTGAGTATTTCAGAGAACATTTGGGTTGCTCACACCCTTAATGACTTCACAGATGGTTTCGACACAGGCACGCCGCCTCTAGAGGATGCTCGGAATGATGTCCCTCCGATGATCTAGGTGGGGCCTGTGCAGGGTGAACCTGCTCGGGTTCCCAGTGTGAGTGCCCAAGGGAAAGATCCTGTCATCGAGCAGGTTTGCGAGCCCGGCCCGTCGGTGCCTCCCCCAGAAGTGATCCCAGAGGATGGCCTCGATAGGGTGTTGCTTCAGATTGACTCTCCCCCGCAGGTGGACGACGTCCGCCTAGTTCCTCTCAGGTTTCGTGCCAAACGAGGAGGGGAAGGTCCATCGCTACAAGCTTTCGACGCTGGAGGTGAGAGCTTGTCCGATGATGTCGAGGAGCGGCGTCATTTTGTCTCCGGCTTCGGAGAGCTGGACAGGATGGCGAAACACGCGGACAGACTGTCCGCTGTGTTGCAAGCCCTGGCCGCCGACGTGAAGGCAAAAAGTAAAACGATAAAATCAAAGGTAAAAATGGTGAACAGTACATTTGATCTGTATGTGATCCATGTCCATGAGTAAAAAGAAAGAGAACAAATCCAATTTTGCGGTAACAAAGAAGATGGTTCCTACTTTGCCGGGACTTAAGTTCGCCTTCTCTGTAAGGCCAGTGTCACAGTGTGCTTTGCACTTTGGAGTTTGGAGATGTGTACATGAATATATATTTCTCTAAAAACATGTGTTCCTTAATAAGCATAAAACGTACATATGAATTCAGGAAGCTCTTGTAAGAACACATTCCTTTAAAAAGTCAAGATTACAATTTAAATCTTTGTTCTTCAAGTCCTCTAGCTCCAGTGACGACAAAAAAATTGTGAAGGCGCTCTCGTCATAGCCACAGAACGTTGTCGTGTTCAGTCTGGCGACCTGTGCATTACTGCAGAGTGCTTCCAGCAACTTGGTGAAGACACCAGCCTTATTGCATAAGATCTCGAGGAACCAGCTCGATCTGACACTGCGAAGATGTATGGAACAGTGAGTCTGTGAGGATCAACGGACACCAAAAATTCTGCTGCAGAGTAGAGATGGACCAGTAGTTAATAGTCTCAGGTTTTCTGTTCTCGTTCGTTCTAAGAAACTTCAGAGCTTAACCTTAGGTTTTCTGCCCTTAGGTTGTTTTGGAGGCCCCATCTGAACATAAAAAGTTCACAAAAATCGCATTTCTGTACTGGGCAAGCAAAATGTCGTTCGCATCTATCAAAATCATATATTAGCAAACATTTTTTTTCGGCTCTTTAGCAAATCAAGCCAACACACCAAAGAAACAAGCAGGACAGGGCAGTAAGAATAAGATGTCACCCTTCAACTGATTACAGCTAAGGTCCCTGAAAAACAAATAAGACAAAGATGACTACACGAGAAAACTTGTCCAAACTACAACCTAAGCCATTCTTAACTTACATCAGACCAATGATTCTATACAGACCATAGAAGTCCACTTATGGTGGCATAAGACAAGCATGTTACATAAAAGCAGGAATTACTAAACACTGACAGCCAAATCCTATATCAACTATTGCATAAATGATTCTAGTCAGACTATAGAAACAGTTTTTCAGCTCTTTACCAAATCAAGCCAACGCACCGAAGAAAGCAGGAGAGGGCAAGCAAGCAGGACGAGGCAGTAAGACTGAGATGTCACCCTTCAACTGGTTCCGGCAAAGATCCTTAAAAAACAATAAGACCAAGAGTAGTACATGAGAAATCTTGCCCAAACTATTACATAGAATACTGAATTACTGAACACTGACGGCCAAATACCAGGTGTAATTGATGTTTCAAAATTATCAAAGTGCTAATCCACCTATATCAAAATTACTCATGCAAGCAGTAATTATTCATGGTGTTTGAAGTGTAGCTGGCAAGACAGACCTCACTATTTGGAAGACCAAATATTATTCCACAAAGGACAGCTCTAACAACTGATTCAGCACTCCACGAAAGAGTACTTAAACCAAAGAAAATATCAAATCTTTCAGTTGCTCAATATGGAAAAAGCCTAAATGTTAAACTTCGGATCACATGACTGTATAAAATGCACTGAATTTAGTAGTATCAAATTAGAAATATGTTCCACAACTTGCGCAAGAGACAGGTCACTTTCAATGCATTGGTAACAAAGGAATCCCACGACGGCATCGCCAAGAAGCCTCGGCGTGGTTTGCTCCATGTAGCTCAGTAGCTGTGCAGGATTCGAGCACACTGCATAAACCTGAACTTGTGTTGTACGTCGCACTTTATTGTGCAATCTTACCAAAATGCAAAGTCTGCTCCAGAGGGTGCGCCGACATAAACAGCATGGGACATAATAGATATCCGACAAAACAAATGTCTTAACTTAAACCTTCGGCATCATCTAGATAAAAGAATGAATGCTGAATGTTGTAGCCTTTAACTAATATGATGAAGCCTCAGTAAAAAAAGATATATAGTCACCTTTCTAAGTTTCTATAACAATCAACTATTGTCTAACTACGGTTCTATACTGAAAACTGAAAAGGCATAAACATAACCGTTCAAATATAATCCATTGAAAACTGAAAAGGTAAAAACATAGCCATTCAAAAATATATTCCAATGAAAACTGATCACAGAGCACATAACTTCATCAAAATATAACCATACTGAGCAACGTCTAACTAAGCTGATTTCAAATATAACCATACTGATTCATTAACTCTTACAGGCCAGTTAGATAAAACAAAATTATATAAACCCAACATAGAATAGATGATATTATAACAATGGCGGCGGCGGCGGCGGCGCTCGGAGGCGAAGAGCGAGGGGCGAGTCGCATTTTTCTTTTTTGGGAACAGATGAGGGAGCGGGTACGCTGGTGGGTAAAGATGGGCATGCAACCCGCAGCCCGACGGCACGGCACGAAGCACATTTTTTTTTGACCCGATCCAAGCCTGGCCCGGCACGGCCTCCACCGGGCCCGTGCCAGGCACGGCCCGAAGCACAGGCCGTGCTTGGGCCGCTACCCAGCCCGGCGGGCGGCACGGGCATGGCCCGGTATTTATTGAAAGGCCCGGTGGCGGCCTGTTAGCTGGTGCGGCCTGCTAAACAATTCCCGCTTCCCCAGCAGCCCAGCCCAGCGCGCTAACAACCCTAACCCTAGCTTCACCCGGCCCCTGCTCGCAACCCCCTCCCCCACGCTCGCAGGCGCGGCCGCGCCGCACTCGCAGGCGAAGGCGAGTCACGGTCTGCTCGCCCCTGCACCGGGGATATTTAACTTTTTACCATTATAACGGATGTCACCTCTTCAGATAGCACTCTTAAAATTGCTTCTACATATTTACCATCGAGAGAGAGCATTTGATACATTCTTGCCATTTTCACTGACGTGACACGCCAACTCGACCTGACAGCATAGACCGGCCACGGGAAATGACATTTTTGCCCATCATCTATTTCTTCTATCTCTATCCCTTCCTCGCTCGATGGGGTCCATGGCGGCGGCTGATAGGACATAGGGGAAGTTGGGGGCAAGGCAGTCGGGGCCACGGCCTATAGGTCCACGGCCGCCCCCGACGCCGGCGACGAACATGGCAGCAGCCGGCAGGGGAAGGCTCGGTCGCAGCGCCGAGGAATGGCGACCAAGCCGGTCGCCGTCAACGACCTCATCCACTGCGTCGCCTCCTCTTGCCTCTCCAACCGCCTACCCTGCAACTACACCCTCCACGACTCCGTCTCCGGGGTGTTCGACGCGTTGATGGCGGAGGTGTTCGACGCCGTCTCCGGGGTGCGCCGTGCCTATGCCGCGCTCCAGGGCGCGCACTGCCCCTGGGACCCCGACAAGATGCGCGTCGCGGACGAGGCTGTTGTCGCCGAGCTCTGCCACCTCGCGCGCCTCCGCGGCCGCTTCCGCCACTCAGCTGCCACGGGCCACATCCCACGCCTGAACCCTTCTGCGCTGCCCCTCCACGAGGCCGTGGCGCCGTACGAGGCGGCGCTCGACGACCTCCAGCGCCAGCTCCAATCCAAGCAGGGCGAGGTGGATGGGCTCAAGGAGAAGCTCGCGGCGGCCACCAGCCGCCGTAACGGGCGCCACCACCACCACCCGGTCTCCAAGCAAAATGGCCCCGACAGCGCGGCGACGGCGGAGCTGTTCACCTCTAGTGCCGAGCAGGCCCGCACGGCGACGTGGGCGTTCGCGGGGCACCTCGCGCACCTGATGCGCGCAGCGGGGCTGGAGCTCGCGGCGGCCATTCGATCGCTCACCAAGATCCCGGTGTCCTCCCCGTAGTTGGCCAAGCACGCGCGGGAGCCGCACGTCACGCGCGCCCTCCTTGGCGGCTTCGAGCATGAGTCCTACCTGGACGGCTCCCTCTCGTCGCTGCTGGACCCCGCCGCGTTCCGACAAGAGGTCGAGCGAGGAAGGGATAGAGATAGAATAAATAGATGAGGGGCAAAATGTTATTTTCCGTGGCCGATCTATGCTGTCAGGTCGAGTTGGTGTGTCACGTCAGCGAAAATGGCAAGAATATATCAAATGCTCTCTCTCGATGGTAAATATGTAGGAGCAATTTTAAGAGTGCTTTCTAAAGAGGTGACATCCGTTATCTCTACAACTAAAACATTCATAATTATTTCGTCCAAAGGTGCGACACCAAAGCCGCTCCATGCGATCAAATCAGGAAGGCAATGCGCACTCGCTCTATGCGATCAAATCAGGAAGGCAACACGCACTCACTCCATGCGATCAGCTCAATCCCCATAACAACCGCAGCAAATCAGGAAAGCAAAAATCAATTCCCCGCGATAGACATTTTTTGTGCCACAATCACCGCTTTGGGTCGTCGGTCTGCCCCTGCGATCCCCGCCTGCTTTCATCGCGCTTCCCCCGCGCGATATAAAAGGAAACCGCCATCCGCGTCGCTCCCCCGCGATTCGTCCGCCACCATCTGCGTCGCTATGTACTTGAATTATGTGAATTTTTTGTTCCAGTATCCTTGTTACGTAAAATTGATGCTCATCTTTAAGCTATTGGTTCAAAACAATATTTTGCTAAGATAAAGTAGATTTTAGTGCCCGGTGACAAAACGTCAATTTCTTGATGCTCTTCGTGTTGAAATTTCTTCGGCTCAAAATATAAAATTGATGCTTATCTTATTACGGTTTTCATGTAACAACGATGATTGGCTAAATAAAATGTTACTGAAATTATATCGTTTTTCTACAGCAATGAATTATCATTGTATTATTTTTTGCACTCCAAAGCGTATAGTCGACGGCTGTCGATCTGTGTGTGAGTGTCTGCCGGGTATTATTTTGTTTTCGTTGCGGCGCACGGGCATGGGCACGATCCCAGACATGGTAAAAAAGTTAAATATCCCCCTGCACCGCCCCGACCTCATCCTCCTGCTTCCCCTGCTTCCCGCCCCGACCTCGTCCTCCTGCTCGCCCCCTGCACTGCCGGCGCACCTCCCCCGCGCGGCCTCCAGCGCAGCGTCCGCGCCGGCGTCGAGCGCGCGGCCGGCTTCGAGCGCAGCGGCCTCGAGCGGCGGTCGCCGCCTCCTCTTCCCTTTTCAATCTCGCAGACACGACTGACGACCCCGCAAACCGCAAAACCCTCGGTCGCGGCTATGGCCGCCTCCGCCTCCCCGCCACGCCGCCGCCACAGCCACCGCGATGACGTCTCCCCGAGCCGCCGCAAGCGCCGCGCGTCCCCGTCCCCGTCCCCACCCTGCTCGCCATCCCCCGGCGTCGACGCGGACCGCCGTCGCAGATCTAGGGCTTCGCCGCCCGATTCCGACCGCCGCGGCCGCCGCCGCGACGCCAAGCCCTCAGAGGAGAAGGAGAATGGCCACACCGAGCCCGGAAGGGATGAGGACGGCGACAACCGCCCTCCCCGGCGCGACAGGGTTTCAGATGGGGAGGATGGTGTCGAACGCCGGAGGATGCGCGATAGGGTTTCCGACGATGAGAAGGAGGAAGGCCGTCGGCGCAGGCGGGCTAGGGATGCGGATGACGAGCCGGACGACCGCCGTGGCAAGCGAGACCGGGAGAGGGAGAGGGACAGCCGGCGCCACCGCCGCCGGAGCCCTAGCTCGGAGTCAGGGTCCTCACCCGACGACCGTCGCCACCGCCGCCGGCGCCGATACGAGGGCTCCAGGCGGCGGGATGACCGCAGGCGAAGGGAGGACGACGAAGACGAGCGCCGGAGAAGCCCTGTGAAGAGGGAGCCGACCCCGCCACTGCCTCCACCACCACCGCTGCTTCCGGAGATGATCCCTGGCCGCACGGGTGGGATCTACATCCCGCCTTTCCGCATGGCGCAGATGATGCGTGATGTGGAGGACAAGTCAAGCCCTGAGTATCAGCGCCTCACCTGGGATGCTCTCAAGAAGAGCATCAATGGGCTGGTGAATAAGGTGAATGCGACCAATATCAAGAATATAGTGCCAGAGCTCTTCGCAGAGAACCTTGTTCGTGGGCGGGGGCTCTTCTGTCAGTCTTGCATCAAGTCACAGATGGCCTCACCTGGGTTCACCGATGTATTAGCTGCGCTAGTTGCGGTTGTGAATACCAAGTTCCCTGAGATTGGGCGGTTGCTTCTTGTTCGTGTTGTGCTCCAGCTCAAGAGGGCATATAAGCGAAATGACAAGGTGAGCTTGTCTTCATTATCCTTAGCTCAAGAAGTATTAATACTTTTTTACCTTTTGGTTTAAGAATGACTCATTTATTTAGTATTTTACAAATGCTGGGGTCTAGTGGTTGCATTCCAAGGTGATTTCATAGAACTAATTTAGCTTAATGTAAGGTTGCTTACCTAATCCTCATCAAGATCTTTGCAATTGTTTCAACTCGCTCATTTACAAAATTGGCTATGCCATTTATATTAGTCTGGAAAACAAAATTGGCTACTTAAGTCTGCAGCGAAGCAGAACTATTTGTACCAATAGGTCTGCTGTTCTGTTGTTACAAAGGGTTGTAGTTAGGCTCATGAAAATTTTTGCACAACACTTTACATTGCTTTCCATTTGTATTAGAACGCATGAACTGGATCGATGCAGGTTTGGAAAGTTACATAGGGTATACCTTCTACTTGGATTCTGGTTTCAAATCAAATAAAAGAACGGAAGTTGCTGTTTATACCTGGGTCCTATATACACTGGCGTCTGCTGTTTATGTATATAGGATGAATTGTTGCTTACATTCAGGATGCTTAATATTTGAGTATGAAGAATTACATACTTTACTGTTAGTTTCTGCATATATTTCTTACTAAAGTTCTCCTTTACTTGCAGCCTCAATTGCTTGCGGCAACCAAATTCATTGCGCACTTGGTAAATCAGGTGGTGGCACATGAGCTTGTGGCGCTGGAGCTTCTTACTGTACTCCTGGAAAATCCAACTGATGATAGTGTTGAGGTACATAGCTTGGACCTTAAGTACTTTTTGACTTTTTTTTTATCTTGTTAACAATTAACAACTTACTCATTTCTGGAATATGTGTATGTTTGTCAATGATAGGTCGCTGTGGGGTTTGTCAAAGAGTGTGGGGCAATGCTGCAGGACTTGTCTCCTCAAGGGCTTCATGGTAAGCTATTTCAAACAGTGGTCTGAGTATGGCTTGCTAAACTTGTTAGCTTTTGGTGATGCAGAATGGTTTTCTCAACACACATTTTATACCATCGACATTCATTTATGGATTTTCTAATGTAGTATGGTCTCGTGGTTAATTCTAAAATACTTGGATACCATGATGATGGTTAGGTCAATCATGTGATTATCTGGGTTTTGGCAGAATGTAGAAACCTCGTTTTAACTTTGTATAAGATGCATTATTGTGGGCCAATGGTGAACGACTAGATGTTCAGCCTTAGTTTTGGATGCTCTGGAGAAGAAAAGTTTTGATGCGTAAGTACAATTATTTAATTTATGCTGCTATATGAATTGAATTGAATCTGGCAACATTATCCACTGTGCTAGTTGCCTAATTAAGTAAGATGGAAACTTGTGTACATAGGTTAGCTATGTGACATGAAGGTTGCTTTCAAAGGTACAAACTACTGTTAGCCACCATAAGTTAACGGTCAAAAATTTTCTGAATTGTTCTATACATCTCGATTGTGTAATACTCCCTCCGGTCCAGTTTATAAGGCACAGTCAGACATGACATGGTCTCCCAAATTACAATTTGGTCATTCATTTTTTTTATGGTTATAAAGTTATGATCATTGGCAGTTATAATCTAACTATATCAAGTTTGTATTACAATTACTGGCCAAATTATTGGTTCAAGATTGTGAAGTTTGAATCTTGATATGCATGTGTAAACTGGACCGGAGGGTGTATTCCTTCGAGCCGATGCATATAATCTTTCCATTAACTATATGCATATATTATTTTAGTGTGTGTACAGTCAACTATTTATGTTCTGGCTAATATATTTCTCCATTAAAAACTGGATGAGACATACAAAAGATGATATAGTGGACTTGTTTGGGTTGTACTTGAAGATTGTCATTTTTTCTTTATATTTGTCACTCATTATAAGACGGATTGATGTTTAGTTTTCTGTTCTCTTTTGAATACTGTGTCCAAAAATATTTATTTTTTATTCGAGGGTGAATGCTATGTTTGGCATTAAATGTGATTAGTGATTATTTATTTATAAATGCTGAAACACTTACTCAGCCTTAATTTGACCATTGTGGATAAGCCTTTATTGATCCCACGCTGTTAGTTTTGTTCTCTCTCCTATTTCTTGTTCCATTCACAAAGTATTTACCTGTTGATCAATTCATGCAGCTATTTTTGAAAGATTTCGAGGCATTCTTCATGAAGGAGAAATAGACAAGAGAGTGCAGTTTCTTATTGAAGGCCTTTTTGCAATTAGAAAGGCTAAATTCCAGGTAAAGTTACACTTGTGGTCATGGTTTTTGAGGTGCTGTGGTGTCCTGTTGTGCTGGGGATACGGCTGTACGCCTAGGCTCCTTCTAGGCGACACCTAGGTGATATGGCGTAACTAAAACCTTGTGGCGTCCTGTGGCACCTGGGGTATGCCTCAATGCCTAGGCGACGCCTCAAAAACCATGCTCCTGATTTAGAAAAGGCTCAAAGTTGAGAAGCCTGGTGTTTTTTGTGTTGCATGTTCAATTGAATGTTCTGACATGATTTTTGTTCCATTTATGTAGGGTTTCCCAGCCATCCGTCCAGAGCTGGATCTAGTGGAGCAGGAGGACCAGTTTACACATGAGATATCCCTTGAAGATGACCTAGACCCTGAGACCAATCTAAG